GCTTGCGGTCGACTTGGGATCTGCTGGCCCTTGGTCGATTGCGATTAACGTATTGGGCACCCCTGCCTTAAAAACAGAGGTAATTCACTGACTAGCTTAGCACTTAGCACTTCGCGCCGTTGTCTGCGCATGAGCGGTGATTCAGTCATCTGATTGGTTGCCCTCTATGTCAATCAAGTACCGGGATTGGTGATAGGATGACGTAGTACGTTCTATGTATTCAGCACCGTTGTTTGAATGGCAGCGCCATCGCCGAAGCCTTTTCGACAATTGTCGTGTGAAAGCCCGGGAGCCGCACTGAATCAGCCAAAGAGCCGCACGCGGCTCGCGAGCTGCGGGTTGGCCACCCTTGATGTCCATGATAAGGCCAAGATGACACAAATTAACCAATCAAATTGTTACTCAGGGCAGCTTTGTGAGTGCCGTTAAATGGTGTTTGCGTGTGAGACAGCCAAGCAGCCAGAGGAAGCACGTTTTCATTGTAAAAAGACAAACATGTTTGAAGCTGTTTAATTTTTAATTTGTTGAGGTTGTTGAAAACTGATGTTACAGTATGAGTTACTTTGCAAGACGGGAAGTGACTTTTATTTCAGATCCGGGCCAGTTTACAACAAAAGAAATTTCAAGACACTAGAACCATCTTCATATATAAAAAGAGAAGAGATTGTATGCAATTTCCCCACAACTTAAAACAGCGCCCAAGTGTTTTATGAACATGTCTGTGACGTGCTTTTTCTCGAAATATCTCAAGAAACAAGAATTACATCCCACCATACACGCTTATACATTTTTTGTCTTGCTAAAATTAGCATGTTTGACAGGGCAGACCTCTCTCATGTACTGTGAAGGCCACCCCATACTGCTGGGCCAGTGGTTCGTCCCAGGGCTGATTTACTGCGGCGACCCTTGACAGGGCAAAGATGCACCTTCTTTTGAGGAAATGTTGCGAGTAAAATCAGTATTATTTTTAACCCCAGCCATACTGATAAACCGGTAACGCATTTTTTGGTAGCATTAACTCAACAGTATGGATATTTTTTTTCTCTCCTTGTTGGATCAAAATCCCACGTGCTGTGTCAAATCCTCAATCTCAGGAGCTTGGGTTTAAACAACCCACGATTTGGCTCTGTCCATTTTGGGCCCAGCGTTGGATTGGCTATTTCACCCAATTCGGGTTACTTTTGACCCAGCAGTTTTCAGGGTGTAAAAGCAAAACAGTCGAGGTGTTATTGTTTATGTCAGCCTCTGGGTTGCAAGTAGAGGCAGAGGAGCTTAACCTCCTGTACCTTCTGCATACCGTAGAGAGAATAATGCCTTGAGTGATTGGGACCGGGATCAGAAGACAAAATACAGAAGAATTGTTACTGATAATACTGGTTAGATTAGATATCCTTTATTTGTCCCACACTGGGGAAATTTACAGCCTTCAGCAGCAAGATTGTGGGTAGAAAGAAGAGAAAAGAAAACACAGTTCAATTAAGTGCAATATAAATACAAACATGGATAAGGTCAATAATTAAGTGCAATATAATACAATAGTCACAGTACTATTCACATATGTTGTCATATCATTTAAATAATTCTATGAATTAAGGTGTAGTGATAATCAATAGTGATGGCGATCAATTATCAACATAATTAGTACCGGTATTATGACTACTGTACTGCAATACAGAAAAAATGAGGCAGACACGCTATTTGTTCATTCCATTTCTCACAACATGCCTCTGCGTTCGTGATGACTGGTGTGTCTTCCATGTGCCTGTTGTGTGTAGATGTCAAATCAAGGTGTCATGCTCATTGAGTTGGCCAGCGGGCTCAGCTTTCCTGCTGCAGAACATCTGAGCCACATCATACATACACAAGCTCTACAGGGTAAGTGCTCAATCAAAAGATGAAAATCGTAAAATGTAAGAGAAAGAATGATCATTGCAGTTTTTTTGTTGTTGTTGTTTTTTACTAATGTTCACCAGACTCTCCTCCACGGTCAGTTGTATTGGATTGCAGTCATGTCAGTGTGATAGATTACACAGTGATTAATGAGCTGAGTGACTTGCTGGGACAATTCAAACGCCAAGATGTGCATCTAATCCTTTCCGGACTGCAGGTATACCCAATAATCTTTTCATGTAAGGGTAAATTTTCAATTGTGACTGTTTTTTTTTTTTTTTTTTTTTTTTTTTTTGGTGTTTGTTTTTTTGCGGATGATGTAAAGTTGATGGCTATGGATGGGCACTTAGAGACCGCATTCCACCGCTGATTGCGTGTCCATGTGTGACAGATGCTAAAGAAAAACCTTTTGATTGCTTGCTTGCTTTGTAACGCCAGAATGTGCACTGTGATGTCTAAAACCTTTTGTTGTCTGTTTTTGCTTCCCTCACCAGCCAAACGTCCTGAAGATTCTTTTAGCTGCAGATCTGGAGGGCCTCAGATATGCTGACGGTGTTGAGACAGCACTGCAGATGGGATCGGGGAACCTCAATTTATAATGCAGGAAATGTCCAGCCAATGCCTGAGGAAGTGATGTTTCCCAATGCACACTAAACTAAACGGGAGATCGTGCACGGACACAAACGATCAGGGGGAGAATCTGGTCTCCAAGTACCCGCTTTACAGATCTGTGATCTCCCTGGACAACTGGACATCATCTGCCCGTGGAGGTTCCTTATAAATGTGCTTTGTGCACTTCGATTTCCTGCATGGACTTCAGCAAATGAGTTTCTTCTTCTGCCATGTCAAGGACTGCGCCTTTTAAGGTTACCTGAAGTAATTTTAGAAAATCCCCAAGGAAATATTTTTATGTCACAAGTAAAGTAATTAAACCAAATACATTAAATAAAGGGCGGCCCAGTGATAGAGTAGAGTGGTTAGCGGGTCGACCTCACAGTGCAGCGTCGTGGCTTTGATTCTGGCTCCGGCCTTCCTGTGTAGACTTTGCACATTCTGCCCGTGCTTGCGTGTTTTTTACGCGGGCAGTCCGGTTTCCTCCCACATTCCAAAACATGTATGGCAGGCTGATTGAACACTCCAAATTGTCCCTGCGTGTGAGTGTGAGCGCGGATGGTTGTTCGTCTCTGTGTGCCCTGTGATTGGCTGGCAGCCAGATCACCTACTGCCCGAAAACAGCTGGGATAGACTCCAGCACGCCCCCACGACTCAGTGTGATGTCACTTTAAGATAACAATAGCGAGGCTCTCTATGGAAAGTGTACAAAGCCAGTCAGAAATCAATTCAGAAAGTGACATTTTAAATTTAGCTGAGGGGATTCAGGTGTCTGAAGAGTTGGAGGAGGAGGTTGTTAGCAAGATGTATATTGGACCATACGTGTACGAGCAAGATTGCTCAGGAAAATGTTATGCCCAAACGGCCGGACACGGAGTAGAGACGAGACCCATTGGAATTGGAAGAACGGTTATTAGTCTAGCTTCATTGTTTGCAATCCGATGCTGTGCCGTGCTGTAAATTGTGCACGATGGGTGTCATTGTTTGCAATTCGATGCTGTGCCGTGCTGTAAATTGTGCACGATGGGATGACCTACTTGGTCCATGTATTCCCGCTAGCAAGGAGAGCTCAAGTCATAGTGGTTTGATGTCCTATATTGTCATTGCTAAGGTAATTCTGTTGCGTTGTCGGCCACTCCGCATATTATATCGGCAGCAATGTTAGTTGCAAACCATTACAGATGATTCCACCCATATCGTTAGAAATAATTTTTTACAGGATTACATCCATGTCTAATACTCAGAATCAAATGTTTTCATAAACAATAGCCAGTTATTCATTGATTATCACACCTACCTTTTTTGCAAATCCTGTTGAGAAAACAGGTCTTCGAAGTGCTTGTAAAAAGAATGCTCGACGACACTGGCATGAAAGTCATTCGCTTTGCGAGAACGAAACTGCATTGTTCCAATTTTCAGGTTCATTTACCCATTCTTTTCTCTTGGCCACTCAAACAACTGTTAGCCTGAATGTATAGCACACAGCGCCCAGACATTTCGCCAAACAACACGATAACAATGGCAAAGAGCAGTTAATGGGAGAATCAACAATGCAGCTGACTGGCACTCGGCATTCTGTAAATGACATCAGTGGCAGGAGATTGCCGAATAAAAGCATTTTCATTGTTAAGCGCGTTGCTGTGTGTCTAACTATGAATCTGGGTGGGTCATGTTAAAAAAACAAATGAAGCTATGCATGAAATAGTTTTACCTCCAAGTATTACTCAAAAGATAGATTGACAACAGAGGTGACACCTGGGGTGGCAAGGCATTGGGGTAAGGGGGCAGCAGCCATCACTTGCAACCCTGTAAAAACTCCTGTTATGTTTTCAAACCCATTTTCAAGGAGTTTGATGTGCTGCCAAAAGCAAATTGCTCACCACGACAACTTCGAGCGAGAGTCTGACCTGCACTGTATTTGTTTACGGAGTACACTTGTGGGTGAAACACAAAGCAGCTAGTGCTACACTTCCTGTCATTTGCAATTTAGTTTCAATATGTTCCATGTGGGAATTTGTATTGGAGCGGAATAATCAGAATGAGATTCCAGTAATGTTTTTACTAGCTGTCTGCAACCCACCAATTGAGCATCACTGCTCGAAGATACGATGCATGACATTTCAGAATCATTTCTGGTGTGTAAAATACTACGAGCTCAATATTGTATTTAACATTCTTGAATTCTCTCACGCACGCACACATTTTTTTTCAAATTAAACATTCAATTGATATTGCTTGATTTTTATGATATTTTTGGTATAACTGCTTTGTATTATTCTGCCATTTTTATTTTTTCATTTTTTTTTACTGCAACAGCAAAAAAACATTTTCCCTCATGACGAATGATTTTTTTCCCTGCTGTCTGACAAAACTCAGGACGAATTATCATAGACTGGAAATACATGTTTGTTTTATTCAAAAGAATGTCTTGATGTTTTTGACACCACCTCTTAACCATATCTTAAGTACATATCTGTAATGTGTTGTGCTTGGATTGTTCCGCGAAGATTTTGTAATTCAGGTAAAAGAAAGGTACGATACATTTGGATGTGTAGAATTGTTTTATTTTGAATATAGTTCATTGAAACGTAAAAGCTTAATTTATTGTTTGCCAAGCACAAGATGGAAACTGAAGAAATCATTTTCAATAATGTTAAATTAATGAGCAATACAGTTCTGGACATTGTTCGTGTTTTTATAAAAAGTATTGGTTTTATTTAAAGCATAAAGATTTTTTTGAGTGACCCCAAAACTTTTGAACAATAGTGTTCATATACACTTTTTTAAACGGCAACCCATTGCGGAGAACTCAACCAGCCGCAAATGCAATCAATGGCTGTTCATTTTTATTGACCACGGTTGAAGTGGACATGACTGTGACACAAACCATGACAATCAGTTCATCGTGGTCGCTATAGAGTTACATCCAAGCTGAAGTGATCCATTGAAAGAAGTGTTTTTTCACTGTTTATTTGAAGGGGCTGGGGGGGGGGGGTTGTTGCGCAAAAGCGCAATGACCTTGTTTTGGCTGTGACCTATCACCACCGATAAGTGTTTGAGTGGGCGCATTTACACAAAAGCATCCTTAGAAATAAAGTTATGACACCCGCCAATCAATGATTTGCCTTGTTGCACACTTTCGGTTTCAGTTCATGTTGACCCAATTTACACTTACCGGAATGGAGAGTGCTCTTCGAATAAGTTACCAATTTACTTCAGATGAATTGCTCCTTTATGACACTTTATTGGAAGGAGTATAATGCTCTTGTTGATAAAAATAAGGAATGGCGACCATACCGACCCCACCACCCCTCCACTACCCCCACAAAAGTACAGAACATCATGAGAATATGCCATGTTTTCTGCCAATAGTTTCTGTTTGTCCAGTGGTTCTGAACCTTGTTAGAGGTACCGAACCCAACCAGTTCACATGCACATTCACCGAACCCTTCATTAGTGAAAAATAAAACAAATATGATTTTTTGCAAATTCAAGACCTTAAAAAAACGTTTCTGAAAAAGAGGAAAAAAGTAAATAAAATGTCAAGATATAAGTAGGTTTTTTTAAATTGCATTGTATGGCAGAGGCTCTGTCGAACCCCTGAGACCGATTCAGCGAACCCCTAGGGTTCCGTCGAACCCAAGTTAAGGAACACTATTAGTCAATGAACATGACATGTAAATGAGAATACTTCAATTGACCACATCAAGGGAATGAATAAATGGGCATATTTTAGGTATACTGCACATTAATCTGCCTTTTTTTCTAATTAGGCTGTACTGGATATAAGCAGAATAAAAGCCCAGGCAAACATTTTTTTTCAATGTCCTCAATGTGACAATTGAAGACTGATTTATTCAAAGGATTCTATTTGGTTACAAATAAATTATGATATGATCTATTCACTCCCATATCATTCCATTGGCATTTGCGTCACGACTTCTGAGAGAAAGGGATCAACATCATTTATCACTCTCTTTTTTTTTTTTTAATCGCACGCCTTACATTGAATTTCTGTTTCTTGGCTCTGGGCTTTGTGTGCCAGTTTTGTTTGATTGTATGTCATATTTACCAGTTCCTCAGTATCAATGCAGTCAAGGACCTATTTTTGTGTCAGACAATTGATTGCTTTGTATGATCTTTTGACACCAAAAGCTGGTCGACAGTATAAATTCTGTCACACTCTCATCACCAGCAACATCATCAACAACTCAGAGGCTCTCTTCGTTTCGCAAGGTAACTCAAAGACAACCCTTGATTTTCTGGAGAGTAAAATGTACCTTTGCAATGTGTCTAACCTTGGGATCATTGCCTTTCAGCAAGTTCTGTGTGTGGTCCAATATGAAGATCTTTGGAGGGGTGTTATTGCCCCTAATCCTACTGCTCAACACCGGAGGGATTTCAGGTATGCCGTTGTTATAATCAAACCAAAACCTTCCTGTTGGTCTGTCCCTTTGTGGTAGGAGATTGTAAAATCCCATTTTGAATTTTTTTTTTTTTTTTTTGCAGTACACGTTTACGGCGTGTATCCCATGCCAGTATGATAAAAATGTCCACCCAAAAATATTGCATTCAGTTCTCAATACTGATTGATGAAGCAAAACTCCAATTCTAATTGTCGATTTACTCTCAAGTATTTATGCTTCTGTCCGTATTCCGGACCACTTTTCCTCACTTGTCATGAGTGCGCAGGAGAATTCCATTTTTCTTTTCATCATCTTAGGGACAGTTGTTTCCAGCTGTGGTTCCTGCCACGAAGAAGCAACGTGTGAAGAGTCAGACGAAAGAGGCGACTCCATTACTGGCTTCTCCTGCGTGTGCAACGACGGCTTTGTCGGCGACGGTCTCACCTGTTACAATACCTTAGCCTGTGCCGATGGCTCTTGTTGTAACCAAGGTTACGAGTGGGCACCTGGCAGTGGCTGCGTGGACACAGACGAGTGTTCGCTCGCCGAATCACCTTGCACGGCACCGCTGATTTGCCAAAACACACCCGGCACTTATGAATGCCTCGAGCCTGACGCACACTCCAGATTGGGCCCTTCCTTACAATCAGTCCAGTTCCCTTGTGGAAACACAGTATGTCGAAATGGCATGGACTGTATTGGAAATAGATGTGCTGATCCCTGTCAGGACTACACTGCCCTGAACGATGAGTGGCGTTCGATACAGTTTAGATATAATAACTCCAACCTGGCAAAATGTGACCGAAATATTGAGTGGCGAGGCTGGTATCGCCTGTTTCTGGGGGGCAACAATGCACGTATTCCTGAGAGATGTATAGATGAAAACATGTGTGGAACCCATGCACCGTTGTGGATAAGAGGACCTCATCCCACACAGTCTAATATGATTGCATCTCGTACTGTGTGTAATGCATGGTCGAGAGGATGCTGCCATTTTGCTTCACACAACATCCATGTCAAGCTTTGCTCTACAGCAGCGAGCAGCTACTACGTGTATAAACTTGTGAAGCCATCAACGTGCCATCTTGCTTACTGTGCAGGTATTTCTCCATTTGAAACATTTTACACTCAAACATAAGCAGCATAAGATCCATCCATTATCTAGATAATATAATAAAAATAAAATATTTCTCAGTCACTTGTCAATGTTTGTGGGATGAAATTTTTTTTTGTTTTCAGAGGTGAATGGAATAGATTCTACACCAGGACCTGAAGTTAGTCCAACCACTTTACCAAATGATGAAACGACAGAATTCCATCCCCCACAAACAACACCAGCGGGACCAGTAGATGAGGGGGACGTCCGTTTGGCGAATGGTGGAAACAGCTCCTGCTCCGGCAGAGTGGAAATCTTCCAACGCGGACAGTGGGGAACGGTGTGTGACGACATCTGGGACCTGAAGCATGCACAAGTGGTGTGCAGACAGTTGGGCTGTGGCAGGGCCCTGGCGGCCCTCCACAGGGCTCACTTTGGAGAGGGCAGAGGGCCCATTTGGCTGGACAACGTCAGATGCACCGGAAGTGAAGCAAAGCTGGGAGAGTGCAATCACCTAGGGATCGGGTCGCACAACTGTGGTCACCACGAGGATGCTGGAGTGGTTTGTGAAGGTATGAAATACAGAAATTACGATACGGCACTGAGGTTTTACAAGAGCACCAACGCCAGATGAAAATATTTGAGGTCTTTTCATTTAGCTCCACTTATGGTTCAACAAGATGATATGAAAAAAAAAAAACATTGTTTTAATTTGTGTTAGTTTTCATGAACCATACAGTAAACGTTTGGACACTGAGCCAAATTTCTCCTTGTAAAAAACATCCAAAAACGTTTTTTCATCGCAGAGTGAGTCTTCTGTCTGTCTGTTGTGTTAGCTGCTTCACCCGTGAGGCTGGTCAACTCTGACAACCGTTGCTCTGGAAGAGTTGAGGTCTACCATAATGGACAGTGGGGGACTGTGTGTGACGACTTTTGGGACCTCACCGACGCCAACGTGGTGTGTAGACAGTTGGACTGCGGCAGGGCTCGTTCAGCACCGCCCAATGCAGCTTTTGGACAGGGCCGTGGACCCATCTGGTTGGATGATGTTCGTTGTTTTGGAAATGAAACCTCAATAACAAGCTGCCGACATCTTGGATTTGGGAGACACAACTGTGGTCACCATGAGGATGCTGGTGTTGTTTGTGAAGGTAACTTCTTATAGTTGGATTCAGTTTTGGCATCATTACACTGAAACCATGAAATTAATGAACCCATACATTTTTTTTCTTTTTATTTAGATGACCAACCTTCACTCAGACCTTCACACCTTATTTGTGGTCCTGACAAAATCCAAGTGGGCCTGAATTCGATTAGCATAACAAGCGCTGGTTACAACCCACTTTCTGGCAACCTGGCAGTCCACAACTGTTCCTGGGTCAGGGTGCAGAGTGGCATCGTATGGTACGAGGCCAACACTAAGGCAGATGCCTGCGGAAACACGCTGAGGGTAAAAACAAAACAAAACAAAAAACACTACACCTTAGCACAACTGCACTTATGGCCCACATTCATTTAAAAACGGCTTCTGTGCATGTTTGCTCATCATGAATTTGATGTCATGAATGCAACGATTCGAGAGTTTACATACTGCAACTTCAGTCTGAGTAATGAGTGCTGTCCGCATTCGACACAGTTTATTATGCCATTGGTATGGTGTCACGAATATTCTTCAATCTCATTTGCAACCAATTGCTGATAATTTGGGTGAGTTTTATGTACTGCCGTATGCAATACAAAAGTATTGATTGTGATTCTTTGCATGCCACTGATTGACAGTAACACAAAGCAAAAAAAGAAAAAAATGGGCCATGCAACCGCATGTACCTCAAAACCTCATAGGTTAGGTCATTTGTAGTTCGTCAATACCAATGTTTCTTTGTACCAGCTCAACAAAGAAAAAAAATCTTTAGCATCGATGGTTATACTCATCTGGACTAACGATCAAAAAACAAAATAATCAACATCATCTGGAACACCACAAAAACCCACCCAAACATGCTACATTTGCATTGCATTCAAGATCAAATCAGACCACAATGGCAGCAGTTCAACAGAAAGTGCTGTTTGATCTGTCTTGCAGACCAACCGGACACATGCCATCTACTCCAACAATTTATTCATCTACCCATTGAACAACGCATCCTTCTCTCTTCCTCTGAAACTTCCTTTCTCGTGTGCCTATCCCCTGGACACAGACAGCAGGCTGAATGTCGCCGTCAGGCCCTACCTGGAGTGAGTAGTTGTTTCGTGAATGGGACTCCAATTGCTGTCATAAGTAATTGATACAATGTTTATCGGGAAAGTATTGCACAGTTGTTGAATGGTTTGGCCAGTCAGGGTCAATGGGAAATGTACGGTAGATTGAACTGCATTTGTATCATGGGGCTTTGTTTCAAAGTGAATTGTTGATTTTTCATTATTTGAACACTTTCATGCACCCTGTAACATAACATAACATAACATAACATGATAAGCTGTCCACTGCAGTAACCGCTGTCCCTGAAAGGGTTAAATGACATGATAATTAACATCTGCAGGGATGTTAACTATCATTGACAGTTAACATCCCTGCGACCGAAATGCAAAGTATTACAAGTTTTCATTTCAATACCGACGATGAGAAACTATGACCGAGAATGATGACGTGCTTTTTCTCAACAGTCTGGAAGGTGCTATTGTTGGCTTGGGTGACAAAGCCAGAGCCTCCATGGTCCTGTTCCGCAACTCCAATTACACACAGCCTTATCCAGCGGGTGCAGTTTTCCTTCCAGTGGGCTCACCATTGTATGTGGGGGTCTCTGTGGACAAAAGAGATCCCAGCTTGGCACTTGTTTTGGAGGATTGCTTCGCTTCTCACTCCCCAAACCCTGCGACCCCTCAGCGATACACTCTCATCCAAAATAAGTATGCGTCTGCTCAGTTGCAATGACTATAGATTCATGACTAAAAAAGGATGATAACCAATGATGTCCCCTCGGCTGTTTTAGATGTCCCGCTGACCGGCAACAAGTGTCGGTGGTCGAGAGTGGCTCATCGCTTCGGGCTCGTTTTGCTGCCCTCTTCTTCCTGCTTCAGGGAGAATACCGAGATGTTTACCTCCACTGCAGCCTCAGCCTGTGTGACCGCAGGAGGCACTCTTGCATTCCGGTCAGTAATATACTCTATTCTGTTTGATTCACAGCATGGCAACTACTTGTCCCTTGTTTATTACCCACTTGGTTATAACGTTTTCCTATTGCTTTTCATGTGCTCCCACCACGTAGCCTTGCGCAAGGAGAGCACACCGCTCAGTCTCAGACTCTGTCCCAACGAAGCCACTCACCATTGGCCCGATCACTTGTAAGCATACTCATTCGGCTATCAGGCAATACAGTGTGTTGACAAAATAGAAATAATTGCAAAGGCCTTTTCGCCTTCTTTCCTTTTGTTTATCTTCAGGGAATAAATCATCTGAGTGACATCCACTAAAAAAGAATGACCTGGTTTGGAGGTGGGGTACGCCCTCGACCATTCAGCAGTCAAACACAGGCAACAAATAGACAAACAATCATTCACACTTTCATTCAAATCTATGAGTAATTCATTAACCAAAGAAATTTTTCGAGACGTGGCGGTGGGGGCAGATGTGACTGGAGAATCCGGAAAAGATCCCCTCGAGCATGAGGAGAAAGTGCAAGCTCCACACAGAGATGTTTCAACATGGATTGGATTCGGACCTCCTGTGAGGCAGAAGGGTTCAGCACAAATCTCACCGTGCAGGACAGCATGATTATTTCTCATACAATCCCATTGCTCTTTGAAAGTGGCAATCTCTGTCTAATAATAATCAACAAATCATCTTCAAATTAAAGGATACAAGCATTTTGAAAAGAATGTCTTGTGGTCTTCATTACAATGAAAAAGGGTGTGTGAAGTGTGTTACTTTGCAAAAGAAATGCTAAATGATTTCTTGGATGTGATAATATTGCCACTGCCAAAAGTGGAAACAAATAAATGTCGGTAGTCCCCTTATTCGCCTGTTGCCAGATAAATTAGGCCGGGGGTTAAAGCAGATCATGAACTTAACAAATAAATAAATATAACAGATAATAAATCAAGACATAGAGTTATCCATCCATCCATCTATTTTCCGATCCACTTGATCCTCACATGGGTCGCAGGGGTGCTGGAGCCTATCCCAGCTGTCTTCGGGCATTAGACGGGGGGGGGGGGGCGGCCGCCCGGTCCGCCCTGATCCGGTTGCCAGCCAATCGCAGGGCACACAGAGACAAACAACCATCCACGCATACACTCATGCCTAGGGACAATTTCGAGTGTTCAATCAGCCTGTCATGCATGTTTTTGGAATGTGGGAGGAAACTGGAGTACCGGAGAAAACCCACGCAGGCCCGGGGAGAACATGCAAACTCCACACAGGGAGGCCGGAGCCGGAATCAAACACTGCACCTCTGCACTGTGAGGTAGATGTGCTCACCACTGGTCCACCGGGCCGCCCTACATGCAGTTATGTGTTAATTAATATCTTATGTTCTGTCCAATTACCAGTACTGCTCGCATCATTAGCAACAAGTGAATCAGAAGCACTCACGTTACTGTTGGCTGACTGCTCTTCACTCACAAGGTTAATGTGTGTCAGAATCATCATCATCATCATCACCAGTCCAGGTTCTCTTTGGGCCCTTTTGGTGCCACGCCAACATTGAGAGGGTCAACGGTTTCAACCTTTTTCTGACATACACTTGACTCATGATACTCGCTTTTGCCAGCTGGGCATTAATTGCTCATAGCTACTGGCTAGTTGCTGTTTGCGAACAGTGGACACTTGTGCCGTATCATACAATGATGGTGTAGTCACCTTGCGGTTATTTAGCCTCTAAGTTAGTGATTGAATATGATTTTGGATCGTCGTGTAGATTTCGGATGCAACTATGTAATGTAAAACTGTGACAAGGCAAGCCGAAATGTTGAAAAGATGAGTCAAGCACACCACCTCACCAGTCAATTTCACAATAAAAGCTTACTAAATCTATTGCATTGGCATCAATATATTATCTGCTAAGCTTCAATTTTTATATTTTTTATTTTTTAATGTAATTTAATTTTATTTTTTGAGGTACCGAATTTACTGACGGAGTCGTATAGATGGGCAGCCCGGTGTCGACTGGTTAGCGCGTCGACCTCACAGTGCAGAGGTACTGGGTTCGATTCTATCTCCGGCGCATGTGAAGTCCTGGTCCGCTAGAGGCGAAAATTGAGAAGTGCTGGTCCTCCATATACAGTAGCTGCGTACCGGTCCACTTAAAGCACTGAAAATTGTCATGTCTCAACTGTACTGAATTCAGTATGTAGTTCTTTCAAAACAGGCAAGCTGTTTTTTTTAGTCCAAACACTGGGTCTTAATTATTTGTAAATCCTGAAAGAGGAACATGTGCAAAATTCTGGATGGAACAGTGATAAAGTAGAAATGATGTGGCAATGGTCTCATGGTATTACAATATTTTGTAGCGTCATAGGATTCACTCTCAAATGCTGTGGGGATGTTCCCTGAATGCGTTAAAACAACACCCTGCTGAAGTCTCAACCATCTGGCAAATACCACAACGTCAAGCATCTTTCTTCTGACTCGACTACACATCCCTACATGCTCGAGCTGCTAAAAATGTCCACTTAAAGCCTTCAGTGGCTGGAATACAGTACATATATCCCAACGGGTCGTCGCGGGGTTTTCCATATCACGAGAGGTGCGAGCTACTTGCTAGCTCATAAACTAACCGGGGCTCCTCCCGGCCTGGCCGATCACCCTCCTCGGTTGGTGCAGTCTGTGTGTGGTGGTATTTGAACATGCTTTCAGCATTTATCCACAAACACACATCATATATTTAGAAACAAATCTTTGAATTCCCTTGACATGGTCTTTCATACTGGCTGCTGAAGTTGAGGATGAGGAAAGAGGAGCGTCGGCGCGGAGCGCGGATGCGTATTTGGAACAGAGAGTCGCCGCTTGGAATCCAAACAGATTCACATGGGACAGGAGAAGTGAACCAATCTCTTTTTTTGTCATCAATGGACGCTACAGCTTCTTGTTTACTTTGAAACTTAGCTTGTTGCCGACGTGTGCACATTTTGAGCATGACATCTTTGATCCAATGGTGAAAGGACACTATGATTCTCTCCTCTTCCATCTCGAACAGTGGTTCTGAACCTGGGTTGAATCGAACCCTAGGGGTTCGGTGAATCGGTCTCAGGGGTTCAATAGAGCCGACTTCACATGTCAATTAGTCATGACATGCCCACCTGGCCATCACTGGGTGGTTCATTTTGTGCACAATGAAAAAACGTAATACTTTATACTTAACTAATTGTGCTTCCTTTTTTGTTTTTTTAATAAATGCGTTTTTTATGTCTTGAATTTGTAAAAACAAAAATCATATTTTGAACTGGTTGGGTTTGGTACCTCTAACAAGGTTATTAAGAACCACTGATCTGGAACTACTTCAAACAACAAAGCGTATGAGGGAAAAGTGGTTAAGATAGCACTACCGTCCGTGTTTTTATGTAGTGTGTTGTGTTTATTATTGACTTTATGTTAACTGTTCTGTAAAGCGCTTAGTTACAGCCGCAGCTGTTGTGAAAGCGACATATCAATCAGGATGTATTGTATTGTATTGTACACTATGTATAACACCATAAGTATGGTCAGATTCCTCAGGGAAATTAACCCTACAATACGTATAACCCTGTGCTGTCACCATGTGCTGTCATGTCTTTTGTCATCCTCAGCCGATGAGCTGGTCCTACTTACATAACTGTACCCAAATTACAATAAGTGCTTGCTTGCTTTGCAGCATAATTTCAGGAATACGTAAGTGCAGTTTACTGGCGTAAAGAAATTGCCTGTATTGGGTAAGCACTCTAGGTAGAACAAAGCAACAAGTTAATCGTTTACTTCAGTTATACTGGATAAAATGTTTTCAGAGGGTGTACCGTACATGCTGTTATTAAATTAATTATTTCGACAAACTATTGCATAACCGCACTACAGAATGCAAAAAGTAAAAGTATTTGGTTATTTATCATGCATGGGTGAGAAACTCTTTCATGAACATAAGTGAATCTGTATTAGTTATAGTTAAATATCGCCTTCCTTAAAGAACACGTAATTTTTTTCTTTTTTTTCCACAAAACACACAAACTAAAGACTGATTATATTGTATTTTTTTTCAGATTGTCATTTCAGGGGTAGAATTGAATGATCTGTTTATGTTGCCAGTTTAGAAGAGATGGCCAGCATCCTGAGGAGATGTTTAAGGGAGAGAAAATATCCCCCCCAAATATGATTAGGCCATTATTTGAAGAGGGTGACAACATGAACTGTTCAGTTACAATGAACACAAATAAATAGATGGATAAAAAATAAAAATGACAATAAAATAAAGTTGGTTACCTTTCAAAACAATGTGATGTACAGTCCTGTAAAAGGAAATAAGAGTCACAACATATTTTTGTTGAAATTGTATCTAAGTTTATATTGTATTAATAATATTATATATCCAATATTAAAATGTTTTTTATTAAACATCATCTTGGACATACTGCATAAAAGAGGTTTTATACACATACTGCATATTGCAAAATATGCTTAGTATGTTTCCCTTGCTCTTTCCTCACTTACAATACAATACGATACAATCTGATTTATATAGCGCTTTCACAACAGCGGCAACTGTAACAAAGCGCTTATCAAAACAGTTAACATAAAGTAAAACAAGAAACACAAAAACACAACATAAAACACAGACAAAAAGTAAAATAACGAACACAACACTTAACATAAAACACGGACAGTCGTGGAGTCCTCACCACTTTTCCCCTCATACGCTTTGTTGTTTAAAGCAGTTTGAGATGAAAGAGGAGAGATACAAAGTGTCCTTTCACCTTACACCATCACCACCAGCTTCTGGAAAGCTTATCAAAGTAATGAAATTTGTCTTCTGGCCGTATTTAATCATGCCTGTATAACTTTCTCATTTTTGCAGTGAAACTCTGTTTTGTAGCCAAATGTATCCTTGAAGCACCCCACCTCATCAGGTAACTTTGCTGCACTGTTTACTGGAGACTTTGTGGTGATGCACAGGGCAAAGGAATGCGGCAGTTGATACAAATTAATCAATTTAGACAAAAACGAAAGTCCCGATGTCATCATTCTGATGGTATAAATATGTTGTGAGTCGTGTCTTTGCACTTGTGAACTACTGTCTGGAGCTCACTTGCCCGGAAGATTCCGCAAATAAATACTTTAAAGAAATTCTTCATCGTCTCCAGCTGAACATTCTCACTACTTAAACGAACACGTGGAGGAAGAAAAAGGCCACCTTCCTCCAACAGAACAGGTAAAAAAAAAATTTGCTTTTCATGCATAATAGCAAGACTTCATGATTGCCTGTTATTCACATCTAGTCAACCATTTTTGTTCAAATGGATGAATTTCATGGTTTTTCTTTCTCTTCGAGGTCGACACGTGGCCAGTATGGGGATGCCAAGAGTAGTATTACTGTTTCTGACTTGGCAGCTCATTGCAAGAGGATCAGGTAGTGTGAATATTATTTTTAGATTATTTGGTTTGATGTCCTCTCACACTCGGTGACAGAAGAATAGAAGTAATTCAAAGCAAATTAACCAACTACAGTATACAAAAAACAATAAATGCATTCTTTCAGGAAGCTTGGGCACTATCATTGTCATAACCACTTTAAATACCGCACGTGTTAAGGCGAAGATTACCATAGTTTTTTTTTAAATGTACTGTACTTTATGAGCAAATAACTGGCGTCAGAAGTAAAATTTAAAACAATGCAAAATTCAAGCTTTGTACTTTGCTTAAGTCGCCGATGGTGTAGTTGTACGTACAAAGACAACTTTTAACGGTCTGCTGCCGTAAAAGTTTTGTGGAGTCATTCAGTCTAACAGAACTCTTTTGTTCTCAGCGGTGGATGGAAGAAGTTATTTTACCCCACCTGAACCTGATGGTTTTGGAATGGAGCCAACAACAATCGCCTCTGAAACTACGACCCGTGTCATGGGTACAAAAACAGATGGTCACAGTACCGGTAATTCAACAAGAAGAAGAACAACAACAACAACTAACACAATACATCCTTTCCCAACAACACCAGGACAACCAATCGAAGAGGGGGAGGTCCGTCTGGCGAATGGTGCAAGCAGCTCCTGCTCCGGCAGAGTGGAAATCTTCCAACGCGGACAGTGGGGAACGGTGTGTGACGACTTCTGGGACCTGAAGCATGCACAAGTGGTGTGCAGACAGTTGGGCTGCAGCAGGGCTCTGGCGGCCCCCCTTCGTGCTCACTTTGGAGAGGGCAGAGGGCCCATTTGGCTGGACGACGTCAGATGCACCGGAAGTGAAGCAAAGCTGGGAGAGTGCAATCACCTCGGCATCGGGTCACACGACTGTGGTCACCACGAGGATGCTGGAGTGGTTTGTGAAGGTAACTTATAGTTGGATTCCGTTTTGTCATTATTACACTGAAACCTGCCGTAAAGGGTTTGTGGAGTTATTCAGTCTAACACAACTCTGTTGTTCTCAGCGGTGAATGAAACAAGTTATTTTGCGACACCTGAACCTGATGTTTCTGGAATGGAGCCAACCACAATCGCCTCTGAGACAACGACCGGTGTCATGGGTACAATGACAGAGGGTCACAGTCATTCAACAAGAAGAAGAAGAACAACAACAACAACTAACACAACATGTCCTTTCCCAACAACACCAGCACAATCAATCGATGACGGGGAGGTCCGTCTGGCGAACGGTGCAAGCAGCTCCTGCTCCGGCAGAGTGGAAATCTTCCAACGCGGACAGTGGGGAACGGTGTGTGACGACTTCTGGGACCTGAAGCATGCACAAGTGGTGTGCAGACAGTTGGGCTGCAGCAGGGCTCTGGCGGCCCCCCTTCGTGCTCACTTTGGAGAGGGCAGAGGGCCCATTTGGCTGGACAACGTCAGATGCACCGGAAGTGAAGCAAAGCTGGGAGAGTGCAATCACCTAGGGATCGGCTCGCACGACTGTGGTCACCACGAGGATGCTGGAGTGGTTTGCGAAGGTAACTTCTTATAGTTGAATTCCGTTTTGGCATCATTACACTGAAACCATGAAATTAATGAACCCATGTATTTCTTTGTTTAGATGACCAACCTTCACTCAGACCTTCACACCTTATTTGTGGTCCTGACAAAATCCAAGTGGGCCTGAATTCGGTTAGCATAACAAGCGCTGGTTACAACCCACTTTCTGGCAACCTGGCAGCCCACAACTGTTCCTGGGTCACGGTGCAGAGTGGCATTGTGTGGTTCGAGGCCAACACTAAGGCAGATGCCTGCGGAAACACGCTGACGGTAAGAACAAAATAAAACAAAAAACACTTCACAAGTTAGTGCCATACAAATGCTCATGTTCAAGACGTACCACAAAAGTCCTTAGCCAGACTGAAGTCCTTGTTTTTCTTGAACTCTATCACCAATATCAAAGCTGCGATTGAATGAAATGTTAACGTTCAATCTCATGAACATCTGTCTTGCAGACCAACCGGACACACGCCATCTACTCCAACAGTCTATTCATCTACCCATTGAACAACGCATCCTTCTCTCTTCCTCTGAAACTTCCTTTCTCGTGTGCCTATCCCCTGGACACAGACAGCAGGCTGAATGTCGCCGTTAGGCCCTACCTGGAGTGAGTAGTTATATCACCACTAGGGCGATCTTTGCCGTGAATGAATTGATTCAGCTCTCGTTTAGGAAACTGTGATTTTATAAGAAACAGTGTTGCAGGTGTACAGTCATTGCATGTCAAGTCAGCAATAATAAGTCTCATAAATGATGTTAAGGGCTGTCGAATAATCGCGAAGAGAGACACTTATCTTGATTGATGATATTGTATGTACTCTTCCTTGACAGTCTGCAAGGTGCTCTTGTTGGCTCGGGTGACAAAGCCAGAGCCTCCATGGTCTTGTTCCGCAACTCCAATTACACAGAGCCTTATGCAGCGGGTGCAGTTTTCCTTCCAGTGGGCTCACCATTGTATGTGGGGGTCTCTGTGGACAAAAGAGATCCCAGCTTGGCACTTGTTTTGGAGGATTGCTTCGCTTCTCACTCCCCAAACCCTGCAAACCCTGAGCGATACTCTCTCATCCACAACAAGTATGCGTCCGCTCAGTTGTGATGACTATAGATTCATGATTAAAAGAGGATTACAACCAGTGATGTCCCCTCGGCTGTTTTAGATGTCCCGCTGATCGCCAACAAGTGTCGGTGGTCGAGAGTGGCTCTTCGCTTCGGGCTCGTTTCGCTGCCCTCTTCTTCTTGCTTCAGGCAGAATACCGAGATGTTTACCTCCACTGTAGTCTCAGCCTGTGTGACTGCAGGAGGCACTCTTGCATTCCGGTCAGTAATATACTCTATTCTGTTTGATTCACAGCATGGCAACTACTTGTCCATTGTTTATTACCCACTTGGTTATAACGTTTTCCTTTTGCTTTTCATGTGCTCCCACCATGTAGCCTTGTGCAAGGAGAGCACACCGCTCAGTCTCAGACTCTGCCCCAATGAAGCCACTCACCATTGGCCCAATCACTTGTAAGCATACTTATTCGGCTATCAGGCGATACAGTGTGTTGACAAATTCGAAATAATTGCAAAGGCCTTTTCTCCCTCTTTCCTGTTTTTTTTTTGTCTTCAGGGAATAAATCATCTGAGTGACATCCACTAAAAAAGAATGACCTGGTTTGGAGGTGGGGTACGCCCTCGACCATTCAGCAGTCAAACACAGGCAACACAAATACAAATAATCGTTCACACTTTCATTCAAATCTATGAGTAATTCCTTAACCAAAGAAAGTTTTTGAGATGTAGCGGTGGGGGCAGATGTTCCTGGAGAATCCGGAGAAGATCCACTCGAGCATGAGGAGAAAGTGCAAACTCCACACAGAGATGTTTCAACATGGATTGGATTCGGACCTCCTGTGAGGCAGAAGGGTTCAGCACAAATCTCACCGTGCAGGACAGCATGATTGTTTCTCATACAATCCCATTGCTCTTTGAAAGTGACAATCTCTGACTGATAATTATCAACAAATCATCTTCAAATTAAAGCATACAATCATTTTGAAAAGAATGTCTTGTGGTCTTCATTAAAATGAAAATGGGTGTGTGAAGTGTGTTACTTTGCAAAAGAAATGCTAAATGATTTCTTGGATGTGATAATATTGCCACTGCCAAAAGTGGAAAATAATAAATGTCGATACTCCCCTTATTCGCCTGTTGCCAGATAAATCAGGCCGGGGGTTAAAGCAGATCATGAACTTAACAAATAAATAAATATAACAGATAATAAATCAACACATACAGTTATCCATCCATCCATCTATTTTCCTTTTCCGATCCACTTGATCCTCACATGGGTCGCGGGGGTGCTGGAGCCTATCCCAGCCGTCTTCGGGCATTAGACGGGGGGGACACCCTGAACCGCTTGCCAGCCAATCGCAGGGCACACACAGGCAAACAAACATCCATGCTCACACTCACACCTAGGGACAATTTTGAGTGTTCAATCAGCCTGCCATGCATGTTTTTGGAATGTGGGAGGAAACTGGAGTACCCGGAGAAAATCCACGCAGGCACGGGGAGAACATGCAAACTCCACACAGGGAGACTGGAGCTCGAACCCCGGACCTCTGCACTGTGAGGTTGACGCGCTAACCACTGGTCCACCGGGCCGCCCTACGTACAGTTATGTATTAATTAGTACCTTATTTGGTCATTTGATCAACAGTCTGGCCATTCATATTCTGTCCAATTACTGCTCGCATCATTCTCAACAAGTGAATCAGAAGCACTCACGTTACTGCTGGCTGGCTGCGCTTCACTCACAAGGTTCCTCTGCCTCCTCCTCCTCTTCCTCCTGGGCAATCGGCCCCCATCAGGTCCCACATCCGGTACGACTCTCGCTGGTGCCTCGCGAGGTTCACACCCAGTGTGGGCCCCAGAAGGGCCCTCGCCCGATTATTGTTGAAGGAGTTTTCTGGGGTGGCCCTTCCGGTGAAACCCCACCTCCTTCCCCGCCGGCTGGTGGGCATTTAGCCGCGTCTGGTGCCCAAGAGCCCCGGCCTTCCCCCCTCGCGCCACTCGGAGGCATCCCACCACGCGAGGACTCGCAAGGTTAATGTGTGTCTGAATCATCATCATCACCAGTCCAGGTTCTCTTTGGGCCCCTTTTGGTGCCACGCCAACATCTATAGGGTCAACGGTTTAAAATTTTTTCTGACATACACTCAACCTGTGATACTTGCTTTTGCCAGCTGGGCACTAATTGCTAGTAGCTAGCAGCTAGTTGCTGGTTGCAAACGGTGGACACTTGTGCCGTATCATACAATGACGGTGTAGTCACCAAGTGGTTATTTAGACACTAAATTAGTGATTGAATATGATTTCGGATTGTTGTGTAGATTTCGGTCGCAACTATGTCATGTAAAACTGTGACAAGGCAAGCCGAAATTTTTAAAAGATGAGTCAAGCGCGCCACCACGTCAGTCAACTTCGCAATAAAAGCTTACTAAGTCTATTGCATTGGCATACATGTATTATTTGCTTAGCTTCTATTTTTTAAAAAAAAAATTAATTTAATTGTATTTTTTTGAGGTACTGAATTTACTGAAGGAGTCGTATCGGTTTCACAAAAGACAAGAGAGAAATAGAACAAGGGAGGGTGCTTGTCATGATTCTGTTTGTGACCAACAGGTGGCACTGTAGGGCTCCCCCTGCAGCTGCACGCCTGTTGGTCGTTCTGTAATTAGGAGTATAAAAGGACTCCTGACCGCCCACTCATGGTCAGGTCATTGTTTGCTTCTGTCATGTTAGTTGCTGTCACGGTTTCTGTTGGTTTGTGTCTATCACTTTGTTTTTTGCTTATGCCATGGTTTTGTTTGCAACTTTGGATTCGTTTTGTTTTCCAGACTTTGTGTGTTCTGGATTTCGTTTCCTGAGTATTTTCATGCAATTTGTCAAGTTCACCCGGTTCCTCCCTCCTGCCTGCTTTTTGGGGTCCACCACCACCACCACAGTGCTGTTGACGCATATGAAGTCCTGGTCCACTAGAGGCTAAAATTGAGAAGTGCTGGTCCTCCATACAGCTGCATACCGGTCCACTTAAAGCACTGCAAATTGCCATGTCTCAACTGCACTGAACTCAGTACTGTATTTAGTTCTTTCAAAACAGGCAAGCTATTTTTTTTTTTTTGTCCTAACACTTGGTCTAAAATATTTGGACATTTCTGAAAGAGGAGCGAGTGCAAAATTCTGGATGGAGAAGTGGGGTTTTCCATATCACAACGAACCGGGGCTCCTCCCGACCTGGCCGATCACCCTCCTCGGTTGATGCTGTCTGTGTGTGGTATTTGAACATGCTTTCAGCATTTATCCACAAACACACATCATGTATTTCGAAACTAATCTTGTAATTCCCTTGACATGGTCTTTCATACTACGATAAGGATGGTCAGATTCCTCAGGAAATTAACCCTCCTTATAACCCTTCTGTCCAGTGATTTGTCACCATATGCAGTCACGTCTTTTGACACCCTCAGCCGATGAGGTGGTCCTACTTCCATAACTGTACCCAAATTACAATAAGTGCTTGCTTGCTTTACAGCATAATTTCAGGAATACGCAAGTGCAGTTTACTGGCATAAAGAAATTGCCCGTATTGGGTAAGCAATCTAGGTAGAACAAAGCAACAAGTTAATCGTTTACTTCAGTTACGCTAGATAAAACATTTTCAAAGGGTGTACCGTATATGCTGTTCTGAAATTAATTATTTCGACAAACTATTGCATAACCCCACTACGGAATACAAAAAGTAAAAGCATTTGGTTATTTATCATGCATGGGTGAGAAACTTTCATGAACATAAGTGAATCTGTATGAGTTATGGTTAAATATCGCCTTCCTTAAAGAATACTTATTTTTTTTCAATTTTTTTTCACAAAACACACAAACTAAAGACTGATTATATATTTTTTTCAGATTGTCATTTTAGGAGTAGAATTGAATGATCTGTATATGTAGAAAGTTTCAAAGAGATGGCCAGCATCCTGAGGAGATTTTTTGGGGCAAAATATGACTAGGCCATTATTTTAAGCGGGTGACAACTTGAACTCTTCAGTCAAAATAAACACGATAAATAAATAGATGAAAAAAAATAAAAATGAAAATAAAATTAAGTTGGTAACCTTTCAAACAATTATGTACAGTACTGTATAAGGAAATAAGACTCACAACATATTTTTCTTGAAATTGTTTCTAAGTTTATATTGTATGAATAATATTATATATCTAATATTAAAAAAATTTATGATACATCATCTTGGACATACAGCATAAAAGAGGTTTTATACACATACTGCATATTGGCATGTTGCATAATATACTTTGGTATGTGTCTAACACTAACAGGAGGAATGTACAAACTACATTTGTCATCCTCTGTTGTCTTTTCATCCTGATATTGACTGACGCCCATAAAGTTTATTGACTCTGGGTTTGTCCTGTTTGAGGGCTATTTTGTGGAAGTAGTTTTGATTAATATGTAACATTTCAATTGAATTCCTCATCAGTATGAATTGTCAATGAACCATTTGTGTTTGACGAATGACTGTTTTGTATGACGTCTTGTCGAGAAATTCTGGGCTATAAATTCCCTCTCTCTTTCCTCACTTTAAACCATCACCACCAGCTCCTGGACAGCTTGTCAAGGTAACAAGGTAAGAAAAGCAATTTGCTTTTCATGCATAATAGCAAGACTTTATGATTGCCTGTTATTCACATCTAGTCAACCATTTTTGTTCAAATGGATGAATTTCATGGTTTTTCTTTCTCTTCGAGGTCAACACATGGCCAGTATGGGGATGCCAAGAAGAGTATTACTGTTTCTGATTTTGCAGCTCATTACAAGAGGATCAGGTAAAGTGTGAATATTATTTTTATATTATTTGGTTTGATGTCCTCTCACACTCAGTGACAGAAGAATAAAAGTAATTCAAAGCAAATTAACCAACTACAGTATACAAACAACAATAAACGCATTCTTTCAGGAAGCTTGGGCACTATCATTGTCATACCCACTTTAAATACCGCACGGGTTAAGGCGAAGGTTTCCATCGTTTTTTTTTTTAATGTACTGTATGAGCAAATAACTGGCATCAGGAGTAAAACTTAAAACGATGCAAAATTCAAGCTTTGAACTTTGCCTGAGTTGCTGATGGTGTAGTTGTACACTCGCCTGACTTGAGAGCAGGCAGCGTGGGATTGGTTCCCACTCAGTGACAGTGTGAATGTGAATAGTTTTTCGTCTCTGTACGCGACCAGTTTGAGGTGTAGTCTGCCTTTTGCCCGAAGTTAGCTGGGATAGGCTCCAGCATCCCCCGTGACCCTCTTCGGGATAAGCGGTATTGAAAATGGATGGATGAACTTTGCCTTTGGCTATGTCTCACCTTGGTACTTTTGTTCCACATTTACCATTCAACTATGGTCCAATCCCAAATTCTTTGACTGCAAAAATGTTCAGAGTTCCAAGACTGGCCGAACTCCAAACTACCCGAGATGCTGTTCACACATTCATCATACCCTGAGACTGTAGTTCACACCAAGATGTTCCTTCCATACCATTAGTTTTTGTCAAGTGGGTTGTCTTTTTACGGATTCTTGTGGAAATTGTAATTAAATATGAATTACCGGTACTCTTTTTAGGTTCAGTTGTTTCCATCTGCGAATTGTGCCATGAAGAAGCGATGTGCCAAGAGTCAGACGAAAGAGGCGACTCCTTCACCGGCTTGTCCTGCGTGTGCAACGATGGCTTTGTAGGCGACGGTCTCACCTGTTACAATACGCTCGACTGTGCCGATGGCTCTTGTTGTAGTCAGGGTTACGAGTGGGCACCTGGCAGTGGCTGCGTGGACATGGATGAGTGCTTGCTCGCCGAATCACCTTGCACGGCACCTCTGATTTGCCAAAACACACCCGGCACTTATGAATGCCTCGAGCCTGCCGCGCTCTCCAGATCGGGCCCTTCCTCACAATCAGTCCGGTTCCCTTGTGGAAATATAGTGTGTCCAACAGGCATGGACTGCATTGGAAATAACGGGACAAGATGTGCTGACCCCTGCGAGGGCTACACTGTCCTGGACGATGATTGGCGTTCGACACAACATGGAATGACCTCACCTGCAAAATGTGACAAAAATGTTGAGTTCCATGGCTGGTATCGCTTATTTCTTGGACAAGACAGTGCACATATTCCTGAGGGGTGTGTCCATGGATTTAAGTGTGGAACCCATATCACCATGTCATTAAGACAACCTCATCCCACACAGTCTGATGTAATTGTATCTCGTGCCGTGTGTAATACCTGGAGTGAAGACTGCTGCCGTTTTGACTCAAACCGCATCCATGTCAAGCTTTGCTCTGCAGCAGCTTCCAGCTACTACGTCTACAAACTTGTGAAGCCACCCGTGTGTCATTGGGCATACTGTGCAGGTACAAAGATAATCAACTTTTAATGGTCCGCCGGCATAAAAGCTTTGTGGAGTTATTCAGTCTAACAGGACTGTTTTGTTCTCAGCGGTGAATGAAACAAGTTATTTTACGACACCTGAACCTGATGGTTCTGGAATGGAGCCAACAACAATCGCCTTTGAAACAACTACCGGTGTCATGGGTAGAACGACAGAGGGTCACAGTACCGGTAATTCAACAAGAAGAACAACAACAAGAACAACGAGGACAACATCTCCTTTCCCAACAACACCGGCGGGACCAGTCGATGATGGGGAGGTCCGTCTGGCGAATGGTGGAAACAGCTCCTGCTCCGGCAGAGTGGAAATCTTCCAACGCGGGCAGTGGGGAACAGTGTGTGACGACATCTGGGACCTGAAGCATGCACAAGTGGTGTGCAGACAGTTGGGCTGTGGCAGGGCCCTGGCGGCCCTCCACAGGGCTCACTTTGGAGAGGGCAGAGGGCCCATTTGGCTGGACAACGTCAGATGCACCGGAAGTGAAGCAAAACTGGGAGAGTGCAATCACCTTGGGATCGGGTCGCACAACTGTGGTCACCACGAGGATGCTGGAGTGGTTTGTGAAGGTACGAATTACAGAAATTACGATACGGCACTGAGGTTTTACAAGAGCACCAACGCCAGATGAAAATATTTGAGGTCTTTTCATTTAGCTCCACTTATGGTTCAACAAGATGATATGAAAAAAAAAAAAAACATTGTTTTTTTGTGTTAGTTTTCATGAACCATACAGTAAACGTTTGGACACTGAGCCAAATTTCTCCTTGTAAAAAACATCCAAAAACGTTTTTTCATCGCAGAGTGAGTCTTCTGTCTGTCTGTTGTGTTAGCTGCTTCACCCGTGAGGCTGGTCAACTCTGACAACCGTTGCTCTGGAAGAGTTGAGGTCTACCATAATGGACAGTGGGGGACTGTGTGTGACGACCTTTGGGACCTCACCGACGCCAACGTGGTGTGTAGACAGTTGGACTGCGGCAGGGCTCGTTCAGCACCGCCCAATGCAGCTTTTGGACAGGGCCGTGGACCCATCTGGTTGGATGATGTTCGTTGTTTTGGAAATGAAACCTCAATAACAAGCTGCCGACATCTTGGATTTGGGAGACACAACTGTGGTCACCATGAGGATGCTGGTGTTGTTTGTGAAGGTAACTTCTTATAGTTGGATTCAGTTTTGGCATCATTACACTGAAACCATGAAATTAATGAACCCATACATTTTTTTTCTTTTTATTTAGATGACCAACCTTCACTCAGACCTTCACACCTTATTTGTGGTCCTGACAAAATCCAAGTGGGCCTGAATTCGGTTAGCATAACAAGCGCTGGTTACAACCCACTTTCTGGCAACCTGGCAGTCCACAACTGTTCCTGGGTCAGGGTGCAGAGTGGCATCGTGTGGTACGAGGCCGACACCAAGGCACATGCCTGCGGAAACACGCTGACGGTAAAAACAAAACAAAAAAGACGACACCTTAACACATCTGTCTGGTGGGTCTCTTGTTGTGCTGTCTTTTGTGATTCTAAGAACTTTGAGGAATGCAAAATTTTCAGTGAATGAAATGATATGAGTACATGAACAGAAGGACCTCAAGGTCATGGTCCTTGACTTGGTTTCGAACATCCAGTCAACTACCGAATACTCACGGGTCAGCACACGTGAATTCACCTATTCACAGACATTATTTTTGTCAATCTTTTTTTTTTTTTGTCAATATTTTTTAGAGGGTAGCAATCCTTGTGTTTTTTGGGGGGGGTATCCCTGCTTATTCAAGAATTTTGGGGGATATATTTATTGTTTCATACATGCATAATGACTCAATTATATGGAGATTTCACTCTTCATGGGCTAGCCCGATGTTTATCATCGGCGGATTGCGGGGATTTGCTGTACTCAGCTTCAGGGGATGAATCTGTGAAACAGCACTGATGACAATCGTCTCTTGTTAGTGCCATACAAATGCTAATGTTCAAGAAGTACCACAAAAGTACTTAGCCAGACTGAAGTCCTTGTTTTTCCTTGAACTCTATCACCAATAACAAAGCTGTGATTGAATAAAATGTTAACGTTCAATCTCATGAACATCTGTCTTGCAGACCAACCGGACACACGCCATCTACTCCAACAGTCTATTCATCTACCCATTGAACAACGCATCCTTCTCTCTTCCTCTGAAACTTCCTTTCTCGTGTGCCTATCCCCTGGACACAGACAGCAGGCTGAGTGTCGCCGTCAGGCCCTACCTGGAGTGAGTAGTTATCTCACCACTAGGGCGATCTTTGCCGTGAATTACCGGTAATTGATTCAGCTCTCGTTTAGGAAATTGTGATTTTATCAGAAACAGTGTTGCAAGTGTACAGTCATTGCATGTCTAGTCAGCATTAATAAGTCTCATAAACGATGTTCAGGGCTGTAGAATAATCGCGAAGAGAGACACTTATCTTGATTGATGATATTGTATGTACTCTTCCTTGACAGTCTGCAAGGTGCTCTTGTTGGCTCGGGTGACAAAGCCAGAGCCTCCATGGTCTTGTTCCGCAACTCCAATTACACAGAGCCTTATGCAGCGGGTGCAGTTTTCCTTCCAGTGGGCTCACCATTGTATGTGGGGGTCTCTGTGGACAAAAGAGATCCCAGCTTGGCACTTGTTTTGGAGGATTGCTTCGCTTCTCACTCCCCAAACCCTGCGACCCCTCAGCGATACACTCTCATCCAAAATAAGTATGCGTCTGCTCAGTTGCAATGACTATAGATTCATGACTAAAAAAGGATGATAACCAATGATGTCCCCTCGGCTGTTTTAGATGTCCCGCTGACCGGCAACAAGTGTCGGTGGTCGAGAGTGGCTCATCGCTTCGGGCTCGTTTTGCTGCCCTCTTCTTCCTGCTTCAGGGAGAATACCGAGATGTTTACCTCCACTGCAGCCTCAGCCTGTGTGACCGCAGGAGGCACTCTTGCATTCCGGTCAGTAATTTTTTTCTATTCCGTTTGATTCACAGCATGGCAACGACTTGTCCATTGTTTAATAACTACTTAATTCTTCTGTTATGCTATTACTTTTTACATGCTTCCACGGCACACCTTGTAGCCTTGCACAAGGAGGGTACGACGTTCTGTCTCAGACTCTGCTCCTCTGATGCCACTCACCATTGGCCCAATCACTTGTAAGCATACTCAGATATCAGGCGAAATGTTGACAAATTGGAATAGTTAACAAAGGATATTTTCTTCCTCTTTCCTTTTTATCTTCAGGGGAGAAATCATCCGAGCAACATCCGGTCAAAGAATAAAACTGTTTGACTGTTCAGTTATTATTCAGAAACCACGATAGCAAAAATGGTGAGATCTAGTTCATATAAATTACAATACATTGTATCATATTGTCAATTCAAATAATTATAACAAAAAGCAAACATGAAATAAGTCTGCCTGTTTTCATTTTTTTCCATTAATAAAAACACATTTTGAATATCCAACTCAGGGGAGTGTGGGGAAACACCACTACAGCAGCAGCTTTTCATTGGATAGTAGTGGTAGCACATTCGTTTTTTAGTCAGATGTACAGGGTCAGTCAAAATGATCTGACACATTTGTAGGTTAAATAAAAGGCAAATAAAGTAAGGAAACAAAAAAGTGCTCTTGTTTTCGAAAAGTACATATAATGCCATTCTGTTTCATTATGTTTTCAAAATTAAATCAGTCAAATGGGATCCATTATTGTCCACATACTGTTGAAGGCGTTCACGAAAGTTGTCTGTCACATATTCATTTTTGGTCTGAGAAAAGTCTCTATAATCTTACAATATCGATCAGAGTTCACAGTCACTGTCATGTTATCTGCTTTGAAGAGGTACAGACCCCATATACAAAAAAAAGGCATTATATGTACTTTTTGAAAATAAAAACACATTTTTGTTTCTTTATTTTATTAGCATTTTATTTAACCTACAAATGTGTCAGATCATTTTGCCTGACCCTGTATATTGCATATTTATGTTGTCCAAAAGCCAGAAACCACCACCCAGGCTACAGATGTCAACTCTTCTCGACTGTATGTTTGATAGTGACGTGAACAGACATTGTAAGGGCATGTGCACTATTCATTTATATTCCAAAATATCAGTCACCAAAAATGGCTGGCATTTTGTTTCAAAAGTCTGAATAAATACATTAAATCCTGATTCAAAATAAAAATGAAGAAAATGGAAATAAATCAAAGATAGGATACCAGCAAGTCCAAACTATGCACAAACTGATCATGGTCTTAAACTGTGGAATGCCTGTTGTTACTCTGTTGCTTTCCCTGGAATTCCTTGGCTGTGATAAGTAAATGAGTAACGTGTGTCTGCTGCACAACAATGACGGTTAATCTTCAATACACTGACCATAAAGTATTAAAGGACACAGATGCATGTTTTTTCCACAATTTAAAACACATCCCAGGCGTATGAATGACATGTCTGTGACATCCTTTGTCAAAATATTCAATGCTAATTGTGAGGTTAATGCTGGTAATCTGACACTAAGAACACATGAGGAACAGGAAGACTCAGGAGGCAGGTATGGTTGTCTTTCTTGCAAGAGAGAGTGCGCTAAAACATCTCGGTTCGCAATCTCCGAGCAACTCTGCAGCTGGCTCTGCCATGTAAACCGCGTTTGTCTCCTTGCATTTATTGGATGGGTGTCCCTGATACACAATCTTCTAATGGGCGTGGGGAGTATTTGCACATTCCACAACAGTTTTAGTCGAGGAGACTTTCAATTAGAACACACAGTTCATTCCTGAGGTGATCAGACGGCTCCTGCTGGAGGTCGGTGGTCCGCGAGCGCAGTTTAGGATGTCCCTCACATGGTGTCCAGGGGTTGATGTTGTCTTCTCACAAGCAGCCGTCACTTTGATCAGAAGCCGTTAACTTAACAAAAGGATGTTATCTTAAAAGCTAGAACGGGAGCAGCCTGAGCTCTCTCGGTCCAACAAGTCTCCCATTATAAACCTACCCCATTGTAAGTGAGGTATTTGCGAGGTCGCACTCTGGAACAAAGGTTTTGTAGTTACACTGAGAGTAAATATGAGATGACAGAATTACAGTTATTCCAACACTAATTACAGTAATAATAACACACGACGGCCTCTGGCTGAACTGACCCTATTTGGAAGGGCTGTCTAGTCTTATGGAGTTGAGCCTCTGCTCAACCTGGCCCACCACACTGCAGGACTTGGAAGTTCTTTTTTAACATAATGACTGGGGGCAGAGCCTTGGGGTGTCGACCAGAAAGCTTAAAAATGTGAGTGCAAATTGCAAAGCGCATTTGGATCCTTGTTTTCACACATGGAGTGATTGACTATCAATGTACCGTGTGTGGCACATCCACATGACATCTGAACTCATTAGGTGTGCGGTGGGAAATTATCTAATTTCATTGAATTTGTCCAAAAATACGATCAAGTCAAGAAACATAATTTGTCTTGTTTTCACTCTCGTTGTCCATGTGTATAACATTAGTGATTTTAAAAAAGTATTCTCTTCATCTATCTTTGTGGCCCGGGATAGTCCTTTTTTCAAGAGCAAGCTCTGTGTTTTTGTTTTTAGGAAAATTCTCATCTTAAAATGATATTAGTTTGCATTTTCAATTTTCTCAATTTGTTTTGGAGAAATCAGATAATTAACTACTCTCAAAACGGCCCTTTCTAGTCAGCAATATAGCCACCAGAGGTGGGCATTTTTCTAAAGGTCTGCCATTTGTCATCCGTCAGCGGCCCGGGGATCCGTCTATCATTCGCCAGTCTGTCATTTTTTTTCAACCCGAACCAACCTGACATCATCAGTTGGTCAGTTCATTTGTCAGTCCGTCAGTTCGTCCATCAGACGTCTGTCGGTCTGTCAGTCGGTCCATCAAATTTTCATTTGGAATGGTTTAAATCAGAATGACAAAAAGTCTTAATGTAAACCCGGCTAATGAAGTGTTTGTTTCAAAAACTGCCTAAGTCAAAGAGATGACTTTGGCAGATAGTGTTTTTAGATTCTACACATTAATAAGTGTTGTGATTGGCCAGTGACATAGGAAGAAAGGCAGAATGATGAGTCTCAAGTTATGCGGATATCACAGTTTGGGCAAAAAATGACTTGGCAATTATGCTACAGTATGTTGCTAACGATATGGAGTATTTGTCAAGTGCAAGATTAAAAAAGAGGCCACTATTGTTTAATGAAGTAAACTATAATTATCAAACAACCTTCTTCTGGAAGGCTGGACAGAAATCCAGAAATTTCATTTAAAATGAACCCCAAAAGCTCATGTCTGATATTCATTGATGAAGGTGAAAAGAAGCACATTTTGGCATCATTATAATTAGTTTTAGTCAGTTTTATCAACATAAGATGTAGGTTAAGTTATTTTTGTTTTTTTGAAAGCATTTTCTTTTTTATTTGATTTCATTAACAGAGATGATTTTTAAATTTTTATGTTGTTAGTTTTTGTTAACCATAATAACTTTGTTTGAAACCTAATCTTTGCAGGGCAGTTATTTGTTATTCATTTTATATGTCGATTACTTAATAAAACATATTTTTGCTGATCGATCATGCTTTTGTTTTCTTTTTTTGTAAGTGCTGGGGGTGGGTCCTTCTTGGTAGTTCTTGCCTGGGGCCCCCTGGGGGTCTAGAAACGCCCCTGCCTGTACTCACGTAAATAAATAAATTGTACTGTCCTTTCACACACGCACGCCGCAAATAAATATACTTACTGAAGTTTGCAACTTCGGCATCTCATAGCTGGCGATAAACCAACATGTCCAATTACAGTATTGTCAAGTCAGTCCTTTGTTGTACTGTTGTTTAACGCTCAGTGATATTTTCGACAGGGGCGTTTGATTGACATGTCAGAAGCCAATTAGAATGGCCTGCTGGGAGGGACAATTGAGCAGCCACGGGATCCCATTCGGGGAAGGGCTTTCCCGTGTTTGGGACCAATTTCCTCTCGCTGGTAGACGTGTCCTACTCATAAAAAGCTCTTGACTTTTCTCACCGACAGCCGTCGCCATGTCCAATAACAACGCCAGCAACAACTTAATCATCGCCCAGAGGGCCGTGAAGCAGCTCCGTTTGGAGGCCAGCATCCGTAGGATCAAGGTACCAGCGGCCGACACGGACACACAAACGCCGAGAGAGCCACAAGCTAAGCGACTGCTGAATGGCGGAGACAAACTGATAGTCTCGGGAATAAACAGGCTTCCACATTTCAGTTTTTAACAGAGGAGAGCAACATCTCGGGCTTAGGGAAATTTACACACTGTCGCTAATTTCCACCTTGCCAACTGAGCGTGAAAACTTTGAAGTGGTAAGTTCCGCGTTGACACAAGTTTGACTGTGGCAAAGTTACTTTGCATACGCGACGAAAAGAACAAACAAAAAAACTTCCTAATTACATGAAAACAGACGTGTGACAGCACTCAGTGTCGCTGAGCGCAATAGTACACATACAGTTGCACCGTTGATTGCAAATAACAGTCAGGCCTGTTGTTGTGTGGAGGTTTTGCGGTTGACACGCCGTCTGTGTTTGCGCCCTGCCGTGTTAACGTCGTGTGTGGTTTGCAGGTGTCTCAGGCTGCTGCCGAGTTGAGGAACTTCTGTCTGCAAAATGCCTCCAAGGACCCGCTCCTGGTCGGTGTCCCCTCCAGCGATAATCCCTTTAGACCGCCAAAGTCCTGCTCCCTGTTCTGAGGTACAAGCGCAGTGGCAAACTCATAATGGCATGCACGGACTACACACAATTCTAGATATGCCTTCATAATCAAATTAAATCCAAAGATCTGAGGTGTAACAGTATCGACACAGTAATAAAACTGTTCACATTTTGTTGAAAAAGGTTGGACACAAGTCTGATTTAACTGAAAGCAGACAAAGCCACTACATCCCACTGCTGGTAACCACATGACCTGATGGTCTCACGCTTGTAAAAATGTGAAAAATCTTATCGTCACTTGATGTCAGAAAATTGCGATCTGTCTTCCCCAAAATTTACGTGAACATCTCCACGTATGTCAACTTCAACCATTCAACCACTGCAAATGTTAAAACAATCACCGTAAGATTTTGAATTTTAAGAGCTTGTCTTCTTCTCCATAGGCACTCACTACAGCTTCATGTCAAAACCTCTTGCTTTCCATAAAATAACGCCGTCGTACCCATGACCGTTCTCTTAAAACATTTTTTAAAAAATGTTATTAGATTTGTTGATAAAGTGTCGTGCATCCTGCGTTAGCGGTGTGTTTTGGGGCGGCATTTGACGTGCGTGTGTGCGTGCATGTGTGTGTGTGTACTGGAGCTCGGTGAAGGAGGACGTCAATCGTTGCTTCAGGTCTTTCCTGTGCACTGCTGTTGATATAGCGCCTCCATTGGGGGTGTCAGCTGTAAATAAATAAATAAATAATCCTTTCTTTTTTTCAGTCTCTATAATACATTGTATGGCACAATGCATTTAATGAATGAAGTTAGAAGGACATTAATTTCTTCCATATGTGTGTTATACTTAAGACAGTTTTGTATGATCCATCAGTGACGAACTGAGAGGTCTGTCAGTACGTGAACCGGTTTGCGATGAGTACATCAACGGATGAAAATCCACCTCTGTCAGTGCTTGGCCCATTTCCATTATTTATTTATTTATTTATTTATTTTTTTAAAGTTCGTCATCATTCATCAGATACTCGGCCGGCCGACAGTGATGGACTGGCGGCCGTTACATCAGTACTTACGGAATGCCCACCTCTGAAAATAACCGTAGTCGACTTGTACAGAGGCAATACAGTACATTTAGGAAACTGTGATTTTAACGTTTTCTTCTTTTTTCCTTCCCTCCTTGTAGCTTGGCAAGAGCAATGAAGAATTTCTGAATCTATACAACTAATGCTCTCTTCAGTTTTACTTAATGAGGCTGTAGATCTACTTGCAGTTCCCTCCTGGACGTCATGATGAATGCTTTCGGGAGCGGGATTGGCCCATTTGTTTGCCAAAACACTTCATCAGTCACATTCATGCTGCACCAAACTTGTGAAGTCCAAAAATGGTCAAGAAATCACACCAACATTACTAATACATTTGAAGTATTTATTTTGTTTTGCTAGACATTTGTTGTCCAAATTAATATTATTTTATATTTAGTGCCATAGATAAAGACAGATATTAATTTAAATTGTAGTGCTGTTATGTCATATGCGATACTTTACACAAAGACTACAGAAATGCATAGAATTGAACTTGTGGACATGAGAATATTTATGAGGTGTGATCCACTTTTTAGAGATTTACTGCTATGATTTTGTCCTCACTATTGAGAAACACTACGACATGGTACCGACCGAGATGTGTGTGTGTTTTTTTTTTAATAGCTTGTTGGTGTTGCTTTTAGCTTGTACTCTGTTACCATCTTTAAAACATGCCTTAAACTATTGAAATAGTGACTTATTGTATGCCCCTTTATATATGCAAATGGTCAAACAGCAGCTATTTCACAACACCCAAATGTTCCTGATAATGAATGTTTGCAGAAGGCCTGTTGCATGACCTGTTTTCCGCAATGGAACGGTATGCCATGCAACCATATCTTTTACTACTGTTACGCTGTATTTTCCTTGTCTTCGCTACTGTGAGCAACATTTTTAGAAATTAAAATTTCTTTTTCGTACACTGACAATTTGCTTTTGTTTGGTTCGTGGGCACCATTTGGAACCTTTGATGTGACTGTCATTGCAAAAAAAAGCAGCTTCTGAGAGTGGTTTGGAAGAAGATGCTTTCTCTGGGCGTGAAACCTTGATGATTTTATTTATTTTTTTTTAAATTGAAGAGGTTAGAAACCATATCACAGTGACCAAACTTTGCTCGTGGCGACTTTTGCTATTCATTTACTGCATCAAATTCGTTTGTCTTTCATAATTGAATTGGCTCAGATAATTTGCAAAACTCTCCCCAGACACATGGAGGTGGCTGAAGACTCCTTTCCAGAAACAGTTTGTCACTCACACACACTGTTTGCTTGTCCTCTCTTCCCTTAAACCAGTGGTTCTTAACCTGGTTTCTATCGAACCCTAGGGGTTCAGTGAATCGGTCTCAGGGTTTCGACGGTACCTCTGCCAAGACACACCCGACTCAACATGTCAATTAGTTCAGACACGCCCGCTTGGCCATCACTGGCTAGTTCATTTTGTGCACATTAAAAAAAAAAAAAAACGTATACTTATGGCTTGAAATTTTTAGTTTTTTTTTTCTGTTTTTAATAAATGCGGTTTTTTTTGATGTCTTGAATGAACTTGTAAAAAAAAAAAAAAAGTCATTTTTACTTTTATTTTCACCAATGAAGTGGTGAATGTGCATATGAACTGGTTTGGTTGGTTTCGGTGCCTCAAACAAGGTTAAGAGCCACTGCCTTAAACCAAAGTGTATTTTAAAATTATTACATTTATTAAAAATTAAACAACTGACAATACCCCTCACAGGGGATTTAAAAGTGCAGATAATCAAGCCAGTAGAGGAAGAAACATGTTTAAATGTATTCATAAACACAATGTCAATATCACAATCTTGTTGAAAACAAACATGAACATAAATATCACATGTCATTTGAGTAAAGTGGAGCATTCACCACAAACTTATACATCTTGATTTATATGGTGCTTTCACAACTGATGCAGCTGTAACAAAGCACTTTACCAGAAAACCAATTTTTTTGTTTTGATTGCAGTTCTTTCCATGTGAACACAATTGTTAAACTGTCACACAGTTCAAATGACAGTCACGATTTTGGCCACCAGGAGGCTTAGTGTGCATCTTAAGCCTCAGGAGTTGAACTTTGCTGAACCAGGTGGCTGGCTGGCTGGAAATGGAAAGCTTCAAAAGGTTCAGAAGGCGTCATCTACCCGTCAATACATCACAAGTCAGCTTTTAAAGGGGTTGAGGCTCCGAGCTACCAATTTTCAGCCACCAGTCCACACTCGTTGCCACCAAAATGGAAACACCTGCACAGACCTGCAGCAGACACAAACCAAAAACTCTCACGACTTCGGTCGTAACAACAGGATTACAAGTGTCCTTCCCACTTTTCCTTTTAGGAATATTTATTGCTTCCTTGCAGCTCTGTAAATGTTCTCCCTTCTTCCTTCTTGTTTGTTGTTGCTTGCTAATTTGCACAGCTGCCTGAGTGGCTACATCCACCACGGGAAGTAGCACTCCTGAAGGTAAGACAATATTTCAAGAGATCCCATCTTATCTGTAGGTCTGTCGTTTTTCTTTTCTTTTTTTTTAAGTATAATTGTTACTGATATTGATCATATTTTTCAGAGGAGACATTTTGTCCCGAAAACTTCAGCGGAATTTAACTTGTTTCAGGGTTGCTCCTGTATGGCTTCAATGTTTGCCAAAACGAGAGCTGGAAAGAAGCAGGAGTTTTCAGGTAACAGTGCCAATTTTTATGCAGGACTAAGTGTGAAAATTAAACAAACAAATATGTATTTAAATACATGAGGGCGTCTTTTATTTGTGTATTATAAAAACATATTTTAAATGTATTTTTATTTCACAAATTTGTCACTATTTATTCATTCATTTTATTTTGGCACCCTCGTTCCCAAGTGCATCATGATATAATTTTATATGTCATTCTAACGCATCAAATCCAGTAGGCGGGCACTGGGTGGGACTGGTACTGATTCAGCCCCAAGCAAATTGCTTCTTCCATTTAGAGAAACACACAAGTCCTACAACTCATTTTGTGACGATATCTAATCTTATATAATACTGCTTGACAATCAGTTTTTGATACATTTAATAGGAAGATTAATGTTTTCTACATAACCCATGGCACAAATGGGCTGCTGCTGGCTAGCTTCAGGCTCAAGTTGTGTTGAAGTCAGTTGATGAACTTTTGTGTTGAAAGCAGCAGCAGCATCATTTGTCATGTATATTTTCATTTTTACCACCATTTACCACTATTTGAGCATTCGCAGTAGTGGAAACAGCAAACACACACTGAGTAAGACACACTGGACAGGAGGGTGGCTCAGGAAGCAGTCTGGAGTCTCGATGTCTTGCTCAAGGACACCACAGGCTGTTCAGTGTGGATGCTCTTGAGCATAATATTAAAATGTTTTCACATGATAGGGTAAAGAAGGTTCTAAAATGACTGGCAGTGTTAATAATCATTTTAAAAAATGACTGAACTAGACAAATATTTGACAGTTTTTGTTGACTAATACTTTGGCCTTGTTCAGACTGCCAGCCAAAATCCGATTTTTTTTAGCTCATTCAGATTGAAACTGGATGACTCTATGAATAGTCACAAAGTACATAAAATTCGATTTGTGTAAATTATGTTTAGTTACCATTGTTATTATGTGGCATTTCTTCAGGCTCTTCGTTGAGAGACCTCAGCCCTCGGAGTAAAATCACTCACAGCATCCCCTCATGGGAATTCCGTGATCAAGCAGATTCTCTCAGAGTGAGTAAATCAATACTGTCATGTAAGGTGAAGGGTTTCGAACTTGCTCAGCAAAATCTACTCCTGTAGGAGCAACTGAAAGAGACGGATGAGCATTTGGCCAGACTTCAAGACATGCTGAAGTGTGAACGGGCAAAAGTAAGGTGTATTTTTTGAGAGCGAGTGGCCAACATTCTCAGTTTTGTCGCACTCTTGATAGTGAATATCCCCAGTGCGGGATGAACAAAGTCTTATTCCATCTTCATCTTTGACTCCATCTTTTGCCAGAGTGCCCGTTTGCAGCTGAGGGTCAACCAGCATGAAGCAGAGCTGAGACGCAAAGAGCAGCAAAACAACAGAATGAAAGAACGACTTACTCAGTTGTCTGATAGAAACAAGGAAAAAGGACCTTGTGAGATGATCACAATCCAATTGCAGCTTGTGGAATGACGGGTCAAATATTTTTTTTATCATTTTCTCCGAAGCCATTGAGGTACTGAACTTTCCAACGTTGGGTCGAGGCAAAAATGTGAAGTCAATCAAATCACCCCAGTCCCCTGCAAGGTAAACTTTACTCTGATAACTTTTAGTGTTTGGTCCGGAATTGCTTTAAAATTGGATGTACGTTTATTTCTTCCTTCGGGTAGGCGAGAGGAGGCAGCACTGCATCTGATGTTGGAACGCAGAGAAGCGGAGCTCCGGGAAGCAATGAAGCTGCGACACAGCCTCACCACCTTACTACATGCCATCAGAGTTGACATGGAGCAAGTTAGGAAAAAATATGTGAAAAATTTGGCCAATTTGTGGTGTGTACTGTAGCCTCGCCTAAGTTAAGCCCCAAACTTGGAGTACTGCGCACAGCATTTGAAAACACCAGTTAATACTGGTCTTGCTTTCACAAAGATTTTTACTGTAGTTTGTATGTCTTGAAAATTGAAGGCCTTTGTGGATGTGTAGGTCGGCTTTTCGGGACCTCAAATGAATGTGGACGTTATCAGAATTCTCTCAGTTGTTCTCTTTTTAGACTTTGACAAACTCTGAGGACATTGTGGTCGGATCCCCAAATGAAGACAAAAAGTTAACTCAAGCTGAGGCGGCGCTGGGTGACCATGTGACAGGAGGTGTGGTTCAGAGTTGGAAATGTGTGCAGCGAAGGCTGGTTGACCTTCGAGGTGAGGGTGGAAACACTGAAGAATCTTTAAAGTGACTTCGTTGTGCTCTCTTGTGCATGGACGCAGCCTGATAAGACCCCAAACTGATTAAAATACTTTCCTCACATCATTTATGAGAAAACCTTATTCTCATTGCCATCTTTCTGTTTGTGTGCAGGCCACACAGGCGATGGCACTGACCATGACAAACTCTTGGCTCAGCTTCAAATGGAACTGAAACAGAGTCAACAAATTGTCAAACTACAACAACAAATGCTGCAGGTCTTATTTTCAATAATGTAGATTTTGACACATATCCAAAACGGTTTAGACTTGCACACCTTTTAATGGTATTCTTTTTTTGCAGGACAGCCTTCTATCATCCCTCCCATCTGAGCTGACTGATTCTTATTTTTTGGAAGAACGGGAGCGTCTCCAAGTGCAATGGGCGGAGTTCAAACAACAGAGACGGACTTTTGAAAGGGAGAGACAGTCCTTCACTGAGGCCGCCATACGCTTAAGTCGTGAGGTGAGAATGTTCCAATTCTACATAAAAGGCTCTCTGTTTGTATGCAAATCCACATTTTTTGTGTCAACAGCGTCAGGACTTTGAGAATGAGAAGGGCTCTCTTTTGAAGCAGCAGTATTTACGTGATACTCCATTGTGTAGTAAAAGAGCATCGAGTGACAAAACTGACTGCACACTCAGTAAGTAGAAAGCTGTGCAATATATGACTATTGTTTTTTTTTTTTTTTTTTTTGAGGGGGATGTTAAGTTCATAACGATGCACCCGATCCTTGTTGAATGCTTGTGGTATCAAAGTGGGGGTAAAAAGCCACTGTTTTTCACTCAGGTTTGGAGCCTGCTGGCATATCTGGCTGTGTTCCCATTTCTCCATCATCCACCAAATCCAGCCCGCTGACTGTTTCAGGGTGCCATTTGGGAAGAGTCAGAGTCGTAACACCCAGTACTCCCGAGCTCTATGCTGCCCTGAGTTTGTCATACAACCACAGGTCAGTCAAGTACATTTTAATTAATGATTGAAGTGGGTCTCAGACCCATTGTAGGTGGGTCGTGGACAGGTAGGAAAAGATTACAGGCCGTCCTCAGTTTATGAGAGGTAATCGATTTGCTTCACCTCTGTACCCTGCAGAGTTCTCTCACAGAATATATTATGTTGAGGACAGGAAGTGGAAGTGCCTCACACTCAAGTTCCAAGGCTACAATGTAAACAAACAAAGCTCAGCTTCTGGCTATGATGTCTTTGCTTGTGACACGTTTTTGGTGCTGTGTCAAGCCAATTTCGGTCTCAGTAATGTTGGAGGAAGAGCGGCCTCCTCTTCCCCGCTTGTTCGTTGAATTTCGGACGAGGAGAATGTTGGTTCTTCAAATAAAGGCTGGAATCGATGAACAGTTTCTTCAAAGCTTTTAATAACAGAATATTCCGGGCACCCGCAAATTACAGACAATGGCTGCGGGTCACGTGTGCGAAGCAGGAAGAGATTCACATCATTTTTATACCATCAGAAGGGTGGTACCGAGACACAAAGTGTGATATAACTTTCGCTTCTCCTAAACCGATTCTCAGCTTGGCGCATTCCAAAGTTTGTGCATCTTCAGCAGGAGTATTCCAATTCTAGGTGATGATTGTTACAAGGACGCAAAGCTACACTGCGGGCATGGAAAAGTTATACAGCATGACTGAATATGAGCAGAATATAGACTTCATTGCCAATCAATAGAAAACTATCTCAGTGCAAATACAACTTCAGTCAGTTGACTAGAAATAAAAAGAATGGCTCGCTTACAAAAGAATATTGTACACATGAAATTCCATGTTTGAAAAATCCACTTGATGTGCTTGCTGCTGTCTACAGAGCCGAAGAGGGAGCAATCCACTCAGAGAGATGGTGCCGTGGAACAGATGGGATGTACCCAGCTGCACCTTTGGATCAGTCATTTTGAGGCAATTGAATTCCAAAGCCATTTTAAAAACATGCACTTTCTTTAAATAATAAAAGTTAAGTATTTTATTGAACTCTTCATTTTATTAAAAACAAAAAAAATGGACACACAAAGTATATGGCAGTTTTATGTTATGAAGTGGAGTACTAGGTAAAGCTAAATAATAAGGTTGCACGACAATGCATTTCCTATGCAGTGTATTCCACATCCAATTAAAGTGTGTGCCACTAGCTGTCTGAAAAAGAAACCGGCATCTATTTCTTTTCTTCTCTTCAGAGGAATCTCGGGTGTCTGGTTGTCTCTTTTCAAAGTCCATCTCTGCCTGTATGAACGCTAAGTGCTGTAGTCCTCTCCCCTCTGGCCTCCAAATGTTAATTTACTTTCAGTAAGCCATAAATTGCACTTCTGCAAATGTGGAAATTTTGTGCATTTATTATTTTAAATTTCCAAATCTGCAATGACCCAAGTCACATCGGCCTTGGCATCAAGGTTGATTTAGGCAAAATGAAAATTGACAGATGACAGTTTCAAAGATGACACGCATCACATGAAGATGGTCACAACTTTTGATCTCAATAGGCTGTGTAAATGCAATTGCAAATGATTCTGTGATTTGTAAAAAAAAAAAAAGGGATTTGTAGTGGGCGTGGCTAAGGCAACTGGTCTCTAGTTGACCCTTTGCGCGCGTCGCCACGTGCACTCAATTAAGAATCAAAGCCCCGCGCAAGACACTGAGCCGCCAGTTTTTTTTTTTTTTTGTATTTTGTTTTTATTGGAGGGG